TGCATGCACTCAGAAAGAAATGAAATTAGGTCATCATTCTTCAGACATTTTTTTTAGTAGTCATTTTAGTGCCAACCACAGTGTTTACATGAGGAGGAGGGAGACAGACTAACAGACGGAGAGGAGGAGGAAGAGGAAGAGGAAGAGGAAGAGGAAGAGGAAGAGGAAGAGGAAGAGGAAGAGGAGGAAGAGGAGGAAGAGGAGGAAGACATCAGTAGGCGTTCAAACTGAGAAGGGGAATAACATGAGGGAGGAAGGATGTCAATAAAACGTAACAACATTGGGAGGGGGAAGTGTAGGACACAGCACAAGATTTCTGAATGAGTGTGTGTGTGTGTGTGTGTGTGTGTGTGTGTGTGTGTGTGTGTGTGTGTGTGTGTGTGTGTGTGTGTGTGTGTGTGTGTGTGTGTGTGTGCGTGTACCAAAGCCCTTATCAGTGACGTAATGTCAGACGTAGACAGAGAGGAGGAGGAGGAGTCTGAGGACGCTCAGTGTGAGGCGTTTGATTTCAACACATTTGAAAATAGCAGCAGCGTGGTGAGTTCGGGGTCTTCTCACCTGCGATGAGTCGACTGTCGCTAAGGGACTTTATCTCTCTGCAGAGAAAGATAATAATGGATCACTTACAGATCCTCATGTCCATTCAAGAAGACGCACTCGTCTGCAGGAAGACACGTTCGTCTTCACGAATGATGCTCAAAATGGATAAATATCTCAAATAGTATTTTAGTTAAATAAACGTTAAAGGTCACCTATTATACTGTTTTTCTCAATGGAAGATCTCAATGGTGCTCTAGAACAGTGGTTCTCAAACTTTTTTCAATAATGTACCCCCTTTGAAAAAGATATTCCACCAAGTACCCCCTGATCAGCGCAGGGACAACAAGCCTATCTAAAGAGGTACAGCACAGCGCTGCACCATCAGTGTCTGATTTATTAAAACAACAACAGTAACTGAGAAACACTTAAATTCTACATTTCAAATGTTTACAATCCTTCACTAAATTCATGCAAACCAATTTTTTAACATCAAGCAATAACACTGAGACGACATTAGTTACATTGAACTGATCTTTTTAATAAGTTGTACTTAATGTAGTGAAACATGGGCTCGAGCTTCACTGAGGATCTTTGTCATTCTGACAGGGAGGCAAACTGCAGTTATTACACTTCGCGTTTTGAAATATGTGTAACTATAAAACCCACACTGCTCAAACTTCGTTACTTTTCCTAAAATTAGTTTATTTATTTATTTTGGGGCGTGGGGAATGAAGAGAAAAAAATATATGAGCATTTTATGAGCATGGGATTTTGACCGCTCATATAAACATATGCATAATGCTGCGCTATACTTTGCGGCCACACGCCGTTGCCAAGCAACGCTTATTGTTTAGGTGTCCTTTGATAAGCAGGCAGTCAAATCATTAGCTAGAACTAGCTAGATCTGATAGATTTGGACATAAACGCGAGTGAAGACCGGACGCGAGAGAGAGATCAGAGATCAGATCAGCTGACGGAGAACAAGCAGCTCTGCATGATCACAGCTCTCCCGCTGTGACGGACCGTTGAGTCGAGCAAAATACACAAGAATTAGACCTAACACACTTAGGCAAGGCAAGGCAAGGCAAGTTTATTTATATAGCACTTTTCAACACAAGGCAATTCAAAGTGCTTTACAAAAAATAAAAGACATTAAGAAAATGGCATTTAAAATCAGTCATTAAAAAGAAAAGCTAATAAAATAAACATTAAAAGAAAAAGTACATGGATAAAAGTTACAGTGCAGTTTAAGATGTGAATAGTTCAATTAAAAGCAGCGACAAAAAGAAAAGTCTTCAGCCTGGATTTAAAAGTAGTCAGAGTTGCAGTGGACCTGCAGGTTTCTGGGAGTTTGTTCCAGATATTTGGAGCATAATAACTGAACGCTGCTTCTCCATGTTTAGTTCTGACTCTGGGGACAGAAAGCTGACCAGTCCCTGAAGACCTGAGAGATCTGGATGGTTCATCATTTAGCAGGAGGTCAGAAATGTATTTTGGGCCTAAACCATTCAGTGCTTTATAAACCAGCAGCAGTATTTTGAAATCTATTCTTTGACACACAGGAAGCCAGTGTAAAGACTTCAGAACTGGAGTGATGTGATCCACTTTCTTAGTGTTAGTGAGGACTCGAGCAGCGGCGTTCTGAATCAGCTGCAGCTTCCTAATAGATTTTTTAGTGAGACCTGTGAAGACACCATTGCAGTAGTCGAGTCTCCTGAAGATAAAAGCATGGACAAGTTTTTCTAAATCCTGCTGTGACATTAGTCTTTTAATCCTAGATATGTTCTTTAGGTGATAGTAGGCTGATTTAGTAACTGTTTTAATGTGACTGTTGAAACTCAGGTCAGAGTCCATGACTACACCTAGATTTCTGGCTCTATCTGTTGTTTTGAACATTGCAGACTGAAGCTCAGCGCTAACTTTTATACATTCTGCCTTGGCTCCAAAAACCATTACCTCAGTTTGATCTTTGTTTAATTGGAGAAAGTTCTGACACATCCAGTCATTGATTTGTTCAATGCACTTACTCAGTGTTTGAATTGGAGAATAGTCTCCTGGTGAAATTGTTACGTAAATTTGTGTGTCATCTGCATAGCTATGGTAACTTATTTTGTTGTTCTTCATTATCTGAGCCAGTGGTAGCATGTAGATGTTAAAGAGAAGAGGCCCCAAGATGGAGCCTTGAGGAACCCCACATGTCATATTTGTCAACGCAGATGTGTATTTACCCACTTAGCTAGTTTATCTACTCTGGAACTAGCTAAACTAGTTATAAATATATGTATTCTTTACTGTCGGGTCACTTATTACAGTTTCAGCGAGCTGCACGAGACTGACGGGCTGTCAGGAGAGGGAGAGGAAAAGAGAGCACCCCGTTTATTTTTCCCATTTTATTATCCAGAATTTCTGTAAACTTTGAATAAAGTAGTTAATCTACTATTAGTAGTTTGTTTGAATGCATTAATGTTTTTTTTCATTAACATAACATAAATCTCACGTACCCCCTGCAGTATTCCAACGTACCCCTAGGGGTCCGCGTACCCCCATTTGAGAACCACTGCTCTAGGAGGAGATTCAGGTGATAAGGGGAGGGGGGGTTTGAGTTACCTTGGATGCTGATTGGCTAATGGTTACACAAGACAAAACATCGTTATGACATCATAAAGTGGCCAAAATCTGATCAGCTCATTTTCAGACAGGTTTTTATAGAAATGGATCAAAAAGAGAGAGAATCTTTGTTCCTGAAACTTTCAGAGTCTCTTTCCACAGAGGGGACACATGTTGATTGTAGAAGAGACATGAAGAAGAGGGGACACATGTTGATGTAGAAGAGACATGAAGAAGAGGGGACACATGTTGATGTAGAAGAGACATGAAGAAGAGGGGACACATGTTGATGTAGAAGAGACATGAAGAAGAGGGGACACATGTTGATGTAGAAGAGACATGAAGAAGAGGGGACACATGTTGATGTAGAAGAGACATGAAGAAGAGGGGACACATGTTGATGCAGAAGAGACATGAAGAAGAGGGACACATGTTGATGTAGAAGAGACATGAAGAAGAGGGACACATGTTGATGTAGAAGAGACATGGAGAAGAGGGGACACATGTTGATGTAGAAGAGACATGAAGAAGAGGGGACACATGTTGATGTAGAAGAGACATGGAGAAGAGGGGGACACATGTTGATGTAGAAGAGACATGAAGAAGAGGGGACACATGTTGATGTAGAAGAGACATGAAGAAGAAGGGGACACCATTTGATGTAGAAGAGACATGAAGAAGAGGGGGACACATGTTGATGTAGAAGAGACATGAAGAAGAGGGGGACACATGTTGATGTAGAAGAGACATGAAGAAGAGGGGACACATGTTGATGTAGAAGAGACATGAAGAAGAGGGACACATGTTGATGTAGAAGAGACATGAAGAAGAGGGGACACATGTTGATGGCAGAAGAGACATGAAGAAGAGGGGACACATGTTGATGTAGAAGAGACATGAAGAAGAGGGGACACATGTTGATGTGGAAGAGACATGAAGAAGAGGGGACACATGGTGATGTAAAGAGACATGAAGAAGAGGGGACACATGTTGATGTAGAAGAGACATGAAGAAGAGGGGACACATTTGAATGGTAGAAGAGACATGAAGAAGAGGGGAACACATGGTTGAGTGTAGAAGAGACATGAAGAAGAGGGGACACATGTTGATGTAGAAGAGACATGAAGAAGAGGGGGACACATGTGATGTAGAAGAGACATGAAGAAGAGGGGACACATGTTGATGTAGAAGAGACATGAAGAAGAGGGGACACATGTTGATGTAGAAGAGACATGAGAAGAGGGGACACATGTTGATGTAGAAGAGACATGAAGAAGAGGGGACACATGTTGATGTAGAAGAAGACATGGAGAAGAGGTGACACATGTTGATGTAGAAGAGACATGAAGAAGAGGGGACACATGTTGATGTAGAGAGACATGGAGAAGAGGGGACACATGTTGATGTAGAAAAGACATGAAGAGAGGGGACACATGTTGATGTAGAAGAGACATGAAGAAGAGGGGGACACATGTTGATGTAGAAGAGACATGAAGAAGAGGGGACACATGTTGATGTAGAAGAGACATGAAGAAGAGGGGACACATGTTGATGTAGAAAAGACATGAAGAAGTGGATTTTGCACAATAGGTGACCTTTAAAGCTAGAGCAGGAGACTGTTAGACTAACTTACCATAAAGAAACCAAAAACTGAAATGCTCATTAATTAACCCTATTTCTGTTGTTTACAAATTCCATTTACTGTGTTTATGCACTCTTACGCACCAAAGCAAATCCCTCGTACGTGTGAACCTACTTGGCCACACACCTGATTCTGATCCATCCGAACTGAAGTGTTAAAGCGTCCTCACACGTTCACAAAGCTGATGAAATAAAGCAGACAAGAGGACGGGTAGAATGCATTCTCTCTGGTTTATTCAGGTTCTTTAGGAAGAGTTCTGTTTGAAATTACAAAATGCACTGGTAGAAACAGCAGAGATAGATAGAGAAAGAAACAGAGGGAGAGAAAGAGATGGTCAGAGAAAGAGGGAGAGAGAAAGAAGGGATTTCATATCCAGAATAAACGGGAATAACATCACCAGATTCAGGTTCAGGCAGCTCTTTACTCTCAAAGGGATTGTTTTTCATCAAGGAAAATCTTTGTTCTCCTTCTCCCCCTTTTTTAAAATCTTTTTTTTCTTTTCTGTAATGTTAGTTTAAGTGTTTATCTATCCTTGTTGTTCCCCCACGGTTTTTCCCCCGTGAAATAACTGGCAAATATAACAAACAAACATTCTTTGATTTCATCACCAAAGTCATTTCCATTTTTTTTTTTATCAGGATGGATTTTTTTTTTTTGGTCAGGTTTTTTTTCCTTTTTTGTTTTTAAAAATAGAAGAAAAAAAGAAACACATTGCTCTTAAAAACATCTATCTATATATATTTTTACATATATATACTTTTTTCTTCATATTTATTTTTTTAATTCCTGAAGTTGACTTGTTACCCCACATAGTGGCATGCACATTGCACATGCAAATCTGTAATTAAATACTTCTCTTATCTTAAATTGCCATGTATGTTTATTTTTTCTCTTTTTTCCCCAACTTGCTGAGTGAATCCTGTATGGTTTTCTACTGTGGCACTGGTTCGGTTTCTACTGGGTCGATGAGTGTCGATGGTTTGCATGGCGATGAGATGAGTGGTTGCTTCGGTTCCCAATGCATCTCTGCAAAAACACCTACATTATAACTAAACCCTTTGCAGCCGGTATTTAAACTCTAGATACACATTTTGGGGTATTTGTTGCATTTTATGTCTCAAACAAGCACGTTTTGAGCAGCTCGGTTTGTCTGACCTGAAAACAGTGGGAACCAGTAGGAACCCTAACCCTAGCCCTAATTGTCATCTTTGGATAAAGTTTTGGGGAATCAAATTTCATTTAAAATCCAATAACTTCTATCAAATGAAAAGGTAGCAGAACCAAGAACAAAAGCCCATGAAATATAGTAAAATCTGGTTTAAGGACCTTCACATTTTCTCTGATTATACCCCAAAAAACACAACAACGTTTTGATAAATGAAACATCAAATCTGTGCTACAAAGGGTTAAAAATAATCCCCTGTTCATGGCATCTCGAGATGTCTTGGGAGAGATCGGCCTCCAGCGTTCGGGAGACGCTGACGTCAAAAGGTGAGTACAGATCTTCTGGAAGCAACTCGTCTTCATCGGGTTAATGGAGAGAAATGGAAAGGGGGGAGAGATGGATGGAAGGAGAGAGGAGAGGAGAGGAGAGAGGGACCTTGGGTTTGCTTTTTTGCGAGGAATCAATTCACTGTAAAACACAGAGAAGTACGGAGTCCAGCAGGTATAAGAGACAACAGCTTTGATAACTTGCACATCAATGAGTATGTCATCAGTATAGACACATTTTGGAAGTCCTGCCACATTTGGAAAGTGCAATATATTATATTTCTGTATGGGATTTAAGGGTGAATAAATACAATTAAGCACATTTAGATGTTTCGGTACTCACTGCTCACTCCGTGTTTTGCACTAAACTGCAGACAAAGTTAGCAACTAGCTAGTAAATATCAAAGAACAAAATGTTCTCTTTGCCGCAGACCAAAATAGAGCTAAAAGGAGTGTGAATAAGGGACTTTAATTCATCAGGTGAACACACACACGATTCCAAGTCAATGCTTACGTTGCTCTGTGTCAGTAGCTAACTGTTAGCATACACATTAGCGATGCCTGCCTTAAAATGTTGTTTGTGGTTATGGCATTTCATGTTTAGGACACGGAAAGTCATGTTCTTGGCTTTCAATGTCAATTTTAACATGTCTTTTGGCGTCTAGAAGTTACAGAGTTACAGACAATTAAGCTAGTGAGCAGGGAATTCAAATGCCTAATGTCAGAGGAAAACAAACATGAAGCCAGTGGGGATATCAACATTTCCCTCATACATATAATGAAACTACAAAGAATAACTTACATTACAATATATCTTCGAAAACACTTCATACACTTTTTCCTGCCCCCAGTAACAGATTAATGCAGTTTTGAACATACTGTATGCCTTTTTTATGCAGTGTCACATAGTGTCCACAATCTCAGTTAATAAGAAATATGTGAGAGCAATTACAAACTCAAGTGAATGAATGAAATCATCAGGAAATTCAACTGTAATACCCGCTGGACTCCTTAAAGACGCAATCAGACTGCAGACGGACTAACACACCCACACAGGCAATCATGAACTCATTCAACCTCCACTGCATAGACACCTTTCATAATGAGTGATGATGGTGAAAGCTCAATCCCACCACCTTGTGTTCGTGAATGGCATTACAGGAGGAAGGGGAGATGTGACGAAAACAGAAACACAGAAGAACACAATGAGTTTTTCAGAAAGTTTATGGATTATATACACAAAAGCCAAAATATACAGTGAAATGGGTGAGAGAAATGACATGATTATTTACTCCCGCCTCCACCTCCCACCCGTTCAGGGTTGAATAATGATCCCATAGGAAAATGAGGAGTGGGTGAGGGAAGGATGGAAGGAGATTAAGGTGGCAACAAGGACACTAAAACCTCACATGCATACTGCGATTGTCTCATCGTGTCCTGTACAGTGTAAGGCACTGAGGGTGACCTACTGTAGCTGATGTTGTCAGGACACGCACACACACATACACACATAATAATAAACTTACAAATACACTGAACTCCACTCACTCACATATTTCCTTATATATGCATACATTCCACTTAGTGCTGAAACGATTAGTTAACTAATTGATTAATTGACTGTCATTTGATTCTGAGCTTGTAATCTTATTTGCTATTTATCTATTCCTATATATAGATATTTCACATTAATAAATATTAAAATGTGTGCATTTTCATAGTCAAATATTGACATATACATTGTTTTTGCGTACTATTTGCATTGCCTGCAACTCATCATAGTCAACTGCCTTTTCATTTTCTTTCGAGGTTTATTTTATTTGACGTTACAAGAAATATTATCTTTACTTATCATTTAGGGTATTGAACGTTACTTAAGGGAACATTCCATTATGCCATATACTCCCTGAATGTAAGTCATATTTTTGGCTTTTCGTAACCAAATGTTTGGCTCAAAATATTATATGAACCTATAGTCCAGTCAAAAAATACAATGGGTTTGATCATGTCAAATAAATTGCCAGATTAATCAAAGATGTAAATAATTAGTTTCAGCACACTCATGCACCACACACATGCTTAAACACAGTCTTACACACACATTAACGCACACACAGTGAATGTCTCCCTGTCGCAGCAGTGGCCCCGCCCCCCTCACAGTGGGACAGAGACTGGGTGGGTGACAAAATGGCTTCTGAGCATGAGGATGAGTCCGAAAAGTGGTCCAGTGCCATTGTGAAATTGTGTGTTAACATCACTACGACTTCTGCTGCTCCCTCCCCTCCCAAAAACGTCCCCCCTCCACCGCAAACAGGACCATACATCATTAAAATCTCTCATTTGCCTTTTTCCCCTCCCGCCTCTCCTTCCTTCACTCTTGACCCCCTACACACACACACACACACACGCGCACACACACACACGCACACACACACACACACACACATCTAGTGCTGTACAAAGGGGAGACCACGGTGTGGCTTCAGCTACATAAGCACAACTTTTGGCAGCACTACTGTACATTAAAACCCACTGTGTAGTTTTTTTTTTAAAGAGAGCCCTTATTCGTGTTTTTGTCGACGCGTTGCCTCACGACTGACCCACTGACACAATTTCACAGCCGACTGAGTGGATGGTTTGGTGCGATTGTTAGCTTTTCCTTCGTCCAAAAACGAAGAAGAACCAAAAGAAAAGATAGCCCGATGGGTGACAGAAGCCGGAGGTGAAGACAGCTGATGTTGGTAGAAGCAATGACTTAGCAAAAACTTTGCAATCCCCACAGCCCACGTTCAAAGAAAACAACGAAAGAAAAATCAAATGTTCACTTTTTCTCCCAAAGAATGGGGTTTCTTTTCGGAAAAGCACACACACAACATGCGTTCACACAAAGGCATTGTTGTGTGTCGGCCATTTTGGATCCGCTGTTACAATTCTGGACAAGCGAGTGGTGTCGTGGAGCCAAAATGGAGGTTGTTTTTTCCTGCCTGTCTTTCAACACGCCGGTGTCGGGGTTGGTGCGTCGGCAGATGAGGGGTCAGAGGGTGTAATGAAGTCAGTGAAAGGAGAGAAGAGGGCGGGGGGGGGGGGGTCAACATTACAACGTCTGACGCCATGCCAGGTAAAACCATACAATAACTCAATCCGAGGCCTGCTTGTTTTGTAGCTGACTTTTCCCTATGTTGTCTAACTAGCTAGCTAACTCTAGAGGGACCTGAGAAGTAAGCGAACCGCTTTGCACCTCTGTAAACCTCTCACTATACCGCCTGAAACTGGACCCACGACATTTCCTGGATTGACACAAAATGCCCTGCCTAACAGGGAGTTGAAGCCAAGAGGGCTAGCTTGTTAGCAGCTTCCGATAAATCAACAATGACGTCAAAACCATGAGGCTCTGATTCAAACTGTTTGGATCTCTTTAGATTTGTTGGCAACTCCAAATATTTGTTTGAATTAGATATTTTTTTGATTAGGTCATGTATGGATTTCGCTACTTCAAAGCTAGCCTCTTGGCTCATCCCTCACTGTGACCCAGTCTCAAAACCACCGCTATCCCCGTTTCTAAACTAGCATGGGAGCCGGTGGGACTTGACTCTTAAGGCGTAGTGTGGTTGATGTCAACTACTACAGAGGGTACAGGGGGGGACTAAGGGCGAGGAGAATGGGGAGTGACAAATGTGACTCTGATACAGAAGGCACTGTGGCTCTGTAGGGGGTTTTGAGGAAAACGTCCCCACCTGTCGTAACCTTACTTAATAGAAGGTGTGGGCAGAGGGGTTATGTATTTGCGCCCCCTCGACTCCCGCCAATCAAATAAACAATCAACGAAAAGAAACCCCCCCTATCCCCATCTTCACTACGCTATGCTCAACTACTAGGCCTGGAGGCAACACATTTCGGGAGAGGAGAGAAAAAGACGAGGGAAAAGGTGACAAAAGGGGTTTCACTGTGTGATGTCAAGAGACGTGTGCAAACGAGGTGTCGATCTTTACGATTAGATTCATAAATCCGTTCTACAGTACCATATTGTTGCAGGTTTTCCTCCGAAATAATACCATGAGGATGCTTATGAGGTCTGCATAGTGTCAAAACACGTGGACTGGGGTTTGTCTTCTGGCTTATGCGACTGCGAAGAAAACAGTGCGAGGTTTCAAGAGTAGCTAGATCGTCAACCGTGTCATGAGCATGAACGGTATGCAAAATAAATAAATATCTGAAACTCTAATTATACTCTGTCTGTTATCTATAACTACATCTACTGGTTTATATCTAGATTTATACGTACTTTATCATCTATATATTTATCTATACTTTATCATCTTGTCTTAAGAGTTATTGAATACTCAATAATTATTTTCCTTCATAAAAATAAGGATGAAAATAGAAGTCCTATAAGTGTTTCTGTCTTGTAATGCCTTTAGTGTCTTCAGTGTCGCTTTCTGGCAATCTGAAAGAACAGATGTCAAAGCAAATGGACAGAAAAAGAAAAAGGTAGATGAGGAAAGAGAGGTTGGCGGATACTGTAGTGGGTTTTGGCAGAAGAGGTTTCAGCTTTGCTACAACCTCATATGATTGGATTGGGGGTTTTGGTGACTATTCTCTGGTTATCCAGACCTGAGAGAAGGGGTTGGGGGAGGGAGGGGTCGTCAGCATTGGCACAGACAGGCAGACAGAAGGACGGGCCGACAAACGGACAGATATGGCGTCTCTCAGGCTACATCCATGTTTCCTGACTACGACTGGACTTGGTCTATATATCTTACAAAGATATAAGAGACAGGTATAAGTAGAGGTTTTCAGTCCAGGTCTAGGAAACAGAATGTGGCCTGGAGGCTGTCCTGTAGAGGGGGAAGGCAGGGCGGATAATGTGCGCTGATAACTGCCCCCTGGTGGCAAACATAGAGAACAACACCCACCTAATACTGACACCAACATTGTACCACCAATACTGTGCTGTCACTGCCGGCAACTGATCGCACTACAAAATGACAGAGCCAGACAGAGGGAAAAGGTTGAGATTCTAGTTTTTGGCTGCTAGTGGAAGAATTCAACCTTGGTAGAACTTTAACTTCAGGTTGGTCTGAAACCTCTGCAATGTAAAACACAAACTCTTCCACATTCTCATTGATCCGGTCTACGCCACCCTTCGAAAATGAATTCTTGATCTTTGGGTTGGCTTGACAAGAGTACGAACCCCACACATCTTTGCATGTCAGGTACTGAAGCTCCCCTGACTTCTACCTTCACCATTGTGTAGAGAGAGTGTATCTTAAGAGTTGCGTTACAACACGCAGCGCTGCAAAGTGGATGTTCCCAAGCCATCCTTGCCCCAAAGCATTAGGAACCCGGTAAACGTCATTGAACGGGGGAATAAAAAACATAACGGATGTAAACAAGATGGACATAGCATACTTAAACTCCAAATAACATGACAACAAATCTACAGCAACAGTTCCATCAATCAATCAATCAATCAACAATCATCATCATCATCATCATTGTCATCGTCATTTTGCATTGACATTGATATCATTATTCATAAGACTATCATCGTTAACAATAATAAATCAAGTGTGGTAGGAGTCCACTTCTCTCCACTCTTTCTCCCTCTTGTTTCTCAAGCAGAAAACAGGAATGCGATCCTGCAGGTTTCCCAGTCTTTTTACAGGTGGTGGACTCATAGATCTGGAACAGTATCGGCAGGAAACTCAAAATAGCCGACTGTCAAAACGTAAATCCCATTTGAGATGTAAAATAGAGAAAGAGAAAGAGTGTCTGAAAGACGAGGACTTCTTTTGTAAACTTAAATGCAAAGTTTCCTATAAAGCCCCCAGGTCCCACCCACACCAGTTAGATTTCCTCTCTAGTATGTACTTAATCAATCATGCAGGTTTCCATCAAATGTTGGACTCCGAAAAAGATCAAAGGAGGTTGAGCGAATGCAACAGAAGAACCAAGCTCCAATGTCCGAAGAAGAACAAGAAGGAGAAGTAATCGATAGAAGAAATACTGAAGAAATACGTCTTTTTCCCTCCTCTCCTCTCCTCTCCTCTCCTCTCCTCTCCTCTCCTCTCCTCTCCTCTCCTCTCCTCTCCTCTCCTCTCCTCTCCTCTCCTCTCCTCTCCTCTCCTCTCCTCTCCTCTCCTCTCCTCCGCCCTTTTCAACGTGTGATGTAATTTCCTGTCAGGTCATCCCTCACCTTTGCACCAGGTCGAGTAACTGAGGAGGAAGGGGCTTGACGAAGTGTCCGACTACCTTCTCAAGTTATCTGAGCCCACCCCCCCCCATTGCGCACTCGAAAAGGAAGTGAGCCCACACGTGCCCCACCCCCCTCCACTATCACCACTGGCGAACAGGAAGTGATGTCACACCAGCTCCGTCAGCATTAAGTGAGTCTTTAACAGTAAACAGAGATGATAAAACTCATCAAATATCAGCCAGCGCTGTGATTGGCTGGTTTTTGCAGTATAGGCGGAGCTTCCTGGTTCTGTCCCTTGGAAAGGAAAAAGGTCAAAGATAAAGTGGTTGTTCTCCCTTTTTTTCTTTTCATTGTTTGTCATGTAAAGTTTGATTTTGTTCTTCATTGTTCAAGTTTGATTTTCTGGAGGCATAGCTTGGCATGTAAGGGTTAGGGGGTCCTGGCTTTTTGTTAATTTATTTTTCTTTAAACATATCTGTTCGAGGAGCAAACTGAAAGCAGTGGACTAATTTTCAGGCTTTTACATTTAGCAGACTGGCCAGCGACAGATAGCACACATCTGACAAAACTAACCAATCAGGCGACAGTCTGGGAGAAGCCCTGTTAGGGCTCATAAACCGTGATATGCTCCTCCTTCGCTTTTTTGTTCCCACAACTTTCTTTTCCCTCTGCAGCCTGGCCTTGCTGGTCAAGCATAGAAATCTGGGAAGTGTAGTTCTGAGAAGGAGAGAGGTAAACTGTGCCCGGGCCTCGCCCTAGCTGTCTTGGCTGTCTCTTTTTCATTTCATCCATGTGCTGCTCTGTCACTGAAATGAGTCTTACAGAAAATCTGTAAAAAGGCTTTTTGCAGCAACCTCCATCCCCCTCGCCCCGCCCTTATTTTTTCTCATTTAGAGTCCGAAGGGTGAAGGTAGAGGGTGTCCAACCCCCATTCATATTTTCTCCCCCTCTGCTTTTTTAAAAGTCTACATATCCAAGGCCAGAGCACCGGAGGCTGCTATTCTTCTCCTCTCCTGCCCTCACCCCTCGCTCCCTGTGGTTGCTAGCACCAGTCATCCTCGTCCGTCTCACTATAAGGTTCATGCAGGCCCTTGCGGGGCCCTCGAGCATGGGGGGGGCCGTTGGTGTGGATGTGGTGGCACCCCGGGTGGCCCCCGCCTATGTGGGGAGGGTGAGGATGAGCGGTAACCATTGGGCACCCTACGTGGATGCGGGTGAGGGGGCTGAGGGGGCCCATGGTGGGCAGTCCTAGGTGAGCGTGGGTGAGGGTGAGGATTTCCCCCATGTGGGTGGGGGTTGCCATGAGAGAGACTTTGCTCGTAGGCAGGGGGCTCGTGGTGCCGCTCGTACTCGTAGTCGCGCTCATAGAAGGGCCCGTCGCCCTCCAGGCTGTCCCCGGGCGGACCCCCGCTCCAACGGCCTCGGTGAGGGGACCTGGGGGAGCCGTGGAGAGGCGAGCGCGGGGACTGGTGCCTGGGGGAACGCGGGGAACCGTGCAGGGATGAGGACCCCCCGTGCTGGGGAGACGCTTGGCGTGACGGGGGACGATGGTGATAGCCTCTCTCGTGGTCTGGAGGGGAGAAGTGTCGGGGGGAGGGCGAGCGCAGTCGGCCCGGACCTGGGGGGCCGTAGCTGGCCTTGCGGACGGCGGGGGAGTAGGTTACATGTGGACGGGGGACAGCTGGGGTCTGGGGCAGCTGGCGACGGCCTCTCCGCGGAGTGCTGGTCCCCGAGGTCGAGGGGACCGGGCTGCCGCTCACCGAACTACTGCCCTACAGCAAAATGTAAACAAGGAAAATCAAAACGCACCACAACAACAACAACAACAACAACAACAACAGAGACCAGAGTAGAGCAGAGAGGAGGTAGGTAGGGAGGTAAGGAGTAGGTAGGTAGGGTAGATATATAGAAAGGTAGGTAGTTAGGGTGGATAGATAGATATATAGATAGATAGAACACCATTGAAAATCATTCAAAAACATTGATGAGGCAAATAATTGACATCAAGAAGCCACACGTCACGTTGAAGAAAAATGGGCAGAAAGAGAAACAGTGATAAAGAAAAAAAGCGTAACACAAAAAGGAGAAATTGATATCCATAAGTAGGTGTGTGACTCTTCGTGAACTTTTACTCGATAGTAAAAGAGTCGTTGTGGCAGGTGCTATATTGGAATTCAAACCTTACATTGTTGATCTAGTGTAAAACAAACACAGCTGGTTCTTGCATTTGATTTGTGAGAAAGATATCGATCTTTTTATTTTAATACCTGACGGCTAGTTCACACTGCACGACTTTCTTGACTTGCCCAAGAGGGAGAAGAAGCCAAATGGATCGCAAGACTTTGGTTGGAAGGGAAACCTGAAGTAGGGATCGGCCGAATAACTTTATGGATTGCCCGATTCTGGACGTACATGAATCTTTAGAAGAATACTCATCTGGAATTTCTCCTGGTTAAAGATCATGTGACCGTTGGGTTGCAGGTCGGTCATGTTGTGTGAAAACCACAATGACTTCAAGAAAGCTAATTGTGTAACTTGGACAATACAGCAATCTGACAACTTTGAAAGTCATGTAGCGTGATCTTAACTAAAGAAATGCCACTGTGACTCCAAGATTGACTTAATGACAGTACAGAACATCTCAATGCTATTTGGGCCTTTATCCAACCTGCATACACTTACACACGTTATATAAGAAACTCTACAAATATAGAAATTAAGAAGAAGGAACAGTAACAGACAGTGTTGGACAGAACTGAGAAGCTGTCCCTAATCTTGGCATTAACCTCGGTGTCTTTGGAGCCCACCTGTCTGTGTCCTCGTCCTTCCGGCCCCTCGCTGGGGGAGCGGGACCAGTGGCGGTCCTGGGGGTGCCTGGGGGGGTAGTCGTGTCTTTCAGGGCCATAGCGCTCCTTGTCCATGGAGCTGTGATGGTGATGGTGGTGATGGTGGTGGCGACGGTCCTTGGTCCGGCCGCGGTCCCTCTCGCGCTCCTTTGGAGGAAGGTCGCCCGACTGCGTGGTGGTGCTGAGGTCTGTGCCCAGACCTAGCAGGGAGATGCCTCAGTTTACATTTGTAAAAACAAGGCCACTCTTTATTTTATTGAGAGTTATATAGAGTTTATCTAGAGCAGGGGTTCTCAAAGTTTTGATGAGTGAGGGCCAATTTAGGTACCCAATATTGGATTGAGGGCCGCCCAAGAAAAAACGGAACACAAAATAATTCCAAAACAAATCCTTTCTTTATTGTACTAACCAATTACCGCAACTCGCGAGATGCCTAGTTGCTATGCAACCAGTAGTCGAGCAAACTTTCCACAAGCTGTCATTCATAATTTAGGAATGACAACCCAGGGGGCGCAGTTTTACCATTCTTAAATTCCATTCTAATTCTTACTAGATACAACCATGGAGGATTCAAATATAACGCATGCATTTCAGCGTGTCACATTAACTATCGCGGGCCGCCAGAAACATTTCCGAGGGCCGCCATTGGCCCGCGGGCCGCACTTTGAGAACCCCTGATCTAGAGGCATACAAATGAAGCCAATTCCCCTTTTTACCACAGAAATTAGCATTATCTTTTTAAAAGCGGAAACTCCCAAATAACTTTCTGATTGCCAGTCGATGAGTATTTTTCAAACTCTCTAACCAGAGTTGGTGATTGTGGGAACAGTGTAACGTGTACAGAACAGACATTTGTTTAATTAATTGTATGTTTGTTGTTGCAGAAATACACAGTCAAATTAAAGCACAGCAAATTAATTAACAGCAGCATCACTACAGCCTCTGGGAAGCGAGTCCTCTCCATCAGATTAGAGAGCTCTCCAATTATTAAGAGGATTCAGGACCAGTGCCAGCCGTGTTGCATTCGCTCCGCAGCTGAAGCAGTTAGTGGTGAAGTGGGTGAAGGGCTTCTTTGTGCAACAACTTGACTTGCATACATGTAGTGAATGTGATGACAACTCTAATCTCTTAGCTCAATGAATGCTGAAATCGCCTCAACAACTGACATTGAGTTGCCCTTGACTGTCCAGCATTACCTCATGCTGCAACTATGACAAGGATCCATCAACTCTAGATATCTAATGACATTGTGTTTATTGTACATTTATGGAATCCAAAATTGTAAAAAAAGTAAACACCTTTCCAGGTTTTAGGACTCATTGCTGCACCACCAGATACATGCATTACGATAGTATAAATGTCCGCTCTGAGTGACTCACCCGTGTCAGCGTCGGTGTATCTGGTCAGCGAGCGCTGCGAGGCCTGGTGATTCCTCTCTCTGTGCCGGCGACCTCCTCCGTGTTTCCCCTCCTCAGAAACCACCCTCTCCAGGGAGTAGTCGTCCAGCCTCACCCCCCGACCCGCACGCCCGTGGACCAGACTGGAGGTGGAGCGGCGCATCGGACTGGTGTCGGTGATGGTCTGCGAGGAGGAAGGCGCGAGTAAAAGAAAGGAAGAGAGAGCGATAGACAGAAAAGAGATACAAGTAGTGGAGGAGAGAGAAGGAAAGAAAGAGAGAATAAGAAAACAGGAAGTAAGATTTAATGCATCATGATTGGTAGTCCTCAACTCTGAGAAGGACAACCCTAGTTTCTCTTGGTTAATGAGTGTATGACTACTGCATGTCGTTGAATGTCTGTACTATTTGACCGATCCTAAATAAGATATCTGAGCATTTCTGCATCCCATTAGCTTTACCCATAGCACCTGGAATCGCAAGCTAACAACCCTTTGACAAGCACATCTAATACCATGCGTCTTCACCATAACATGTAGGAATGAAACAGGGATACACAGGGAACTGACAGCAAGGGGACAAAGGGGCAGAGAGACAGAGAGCAAGCATGAAGGAGGGCTGTAGAAACCATGCCTCACATGCACCTACTGGAACTTTCCAGATGGCAGCCATGTTTCATTTGAATCATTGTCAAGCACATCAGGTGTTTGATGGGCAGTGGTGAACTTCTAATTGGACGAAAACATTACAGTACACTTACATTTTCAGTGTGGACAGAAGGTACATGTATTAACAACTTGAGTGACACTATAAAAGCTTGTGAAGCTGATACAATACTTTACTCTCTTGTTTTGCTGAATGTTACCCAACACATCCACAACATCTAATTCCAAGCTAATTTAGCATTTTCTCCATGTTTCATATGGGCTTCATACCTTACAAAGACAACCACTATGTCTCCCAACAAAATGTGCATCCGTATGACTTAAATCCAATATGGCAGCCATGTGGAAAAGATAAGCTGTCATTCCATAACCCAAAGAGTCCGGTCAAAACGCTCCGCAAGAACCCAACAGGAAAATCTTACAGGATCGATTGTTGGATTTAAAAAACATTACAAAATAAGGTTTTTATTGCTAAAATTATACATCTAAGTATGGACGACAATGATGTCAGTGCAGTTGGCTTTCATTTGTATTGAAAACGGTTGATTGAATTGTTTCGACAGAGACTTTCTGCCTGTATATTTAAAATGTACTCGAAACCTACCAAGTACTGTATGTGTGTATAAATACATCGAATGCATGAAGGTATTGAATTGTACTCCAACATTTGTAGCTGTGATTTTGCATCATGAAACAATATAACATACGAGATACAAAAGTTACTTTCAGAAAACCTTAAAAAGGAACTGGCTCAAGTTTAGTTCTAGACCACCCTTGATTTTCCTGATGGGTTCATAACCAGACTGTGACTATGATAGGACCCCCCCGCTGACCCCCCCCAAAGCTTCATATGATATGGCACATGTCAGTCTGCAAGCAGCAGGCCAGACAAAGACTCAGACGAAGAGGATTCCCCGTCCTGAGAGGAGCAACACACACACACACACACACACACACACACACACACACACACACACACACACACACACACACACACACACACACACCACACACACACACACACACACACACACACACACACCACACACACACACACACACACACACACACACACACACACACACACACACTTGCATTTCAGTCTATTTACTGCCATTTTGTAATAATGTTCCACCTTTTAAACTTTAAATTCGGCTTAAAGTACAGAAGAATAATAATTCTACTATTAGGACTACTACTTCTTCATATAGTAACACTCACATCAATACTACTAGTTCTGGTTTTAGATGTTGTTTCTTTGCACTAAGACCAATAGTTTGGGTGTATATATGTAAGGCTTATTAGTGTGTCAAATTAAAGCCATGTATAAACGACTCCAAATGTATATTTACTCAGACATTCCTTAAAATATCAAACTTACATTATGATTCTAGTGACGTAAACCTAAACGAACTTTGGCCTGACCTCATTTTTTAAGATTTCCGCCTGGGTGTTACGTGCCAAAGAGTTGTCAAAAATGACATTACCCATCTTAAGACAGAGATAGTGCTGATAGTGCTCCGTCCAACGTGACATCTTTCATTCTACTCAAACTAATGCATCACTTCCTCTCCATCACACCCACGGCGAGACTCAGCTCTGCCACGTCATGCACGACTTATGACATGCCGACACGCCGCCAATCCACCATAACAGGCCAACAGCTGCACATCAGGCCAGACCATGCTTTCCTCAAACACTGTTGACCCGGTCTGCACACACACACACGCACGCACACACACACACGCACGCACACACACGCACGCACACACACACCCACCACACACACACACACACACACACACACACACACACA